ACCGCGCTTTAAAACGTAACGGTTCCACTACGCCGAGTGTTTCTGTTTCACAAAACGAAAACAAAGTTACAGGAGGAGTGCACCCGCTTATAGTTTAGCCAGTGTATATGTACACTGGCTAAACTATGGCAGAGGGACCAAACTGTGAAGCACCAAGTCTGACCAGGGCGTTACTGAAGATGACGGATCACCTGTTCAAAAACTTAAGTTAAAAGGTTCCTGCTAAAGGAGCGAATAATTACATTAAACTTGATGCAGCACCTGCGGGATCACCACCCAGCTTTGCACGCCCACGTAAAGGTAGGCTATACTATATTAAATAACAGTAGCAAGTTGGTCGGGACTTAAATGTGAACGTGTCACTTACAATCGATGCTGTAGCGATGAGAGTCGAGCTTTCAGTGCAACGTGAACAAACAAAGCAGGTGTAACCTTTCAGGCCCATTACTTTCAATAGCTTGCGCCGCGCCAGGGTGGTTTGTTGCTGCAACGTGCACCGCACGGCGAGCTCATGCGCACGCCGCGGTTAAAGCAGTTGAACTTTAGCGCTGAGCAGCTTCCACGCAGTGCAAATTGTTCTTTTCTGAAAGGGCCCTCATGGAAGACAGAACGTAGTCCTCTCAAGACCTTCAGTCACTGAACATTTAACGTTACATCCTGTTGTCTCCTCCTGTTTGTGTTGAGCAAATGTTGCCAGCTGTAAAAACACTAACAAACATCAGGAGCTTATAGACTTTCAGGACTACAGGCTACCAATTAACTGCGTTTCAGTTAACACTGCACTCAATTTCTTTCTATCATTTTCACTAAAACATACGTACGGATGAGAGTTGATGACAGTAACAGTTCAGTTTATTCCCCTCCTTCATGGCGGTTAAAAGTTAATATTCCTCTTATATTAATAATACTTATATTACTTACTTATTATATTACTTATATATTATAGAAATATAATGTTAATGTAATTAAATATTAAAAATCAACTTAAGCCATTACTAGTGTTGTGAAATTAATTAATGCATAATAATCGTAATAATCGTGAAACCGTGAGTATTTCTCAGATAATAATCGCACCAACAAAATCTGTAATCGTTGCATCCAACCATATCCAAACACATCCACCAAATTACAATCACACATCGTCTTCTGCGTCCTTACCTTGACACTAAAATGTGGATGACTCCATGTCCCCCGTACAACATTCACATCGCATCACTTGCATGTTATAACGACCTCGTGGAAGCTGTATTTGTACTGTATATATACACTGTAGATTAAAACATGAACAGATATGCTCAATATGACTGATTTAAGAAACCCTCTATAAGAAAAATACAGGGGTTAGCTTGACTGATGATCTATCAGCAGCATCATGTCCATTGAACCAGCTACACCTCACTGAATGTCCTGTATAGTCGGGAGCCGTGTGCTTCCTTCTTTGTTTCAGTGTGGATTTAATCCCATAAACCATCTGTAACAGGAGAAGCCTACACCCACTTTAACCTTCTACACCTTTCCTCTGACATCAACGCCTCTGTGCTTCTCTGCAGCCGCTCAGTTTAACAGCCCCGAGATAGCTGCATCATGTCCTGTGAGGTGGAAATGGCAGACAGTGAGCAGGGCTGCACTGACCACTCACAACTTCCTGCTCTTCATAATCTAAATGATCTCTCAACAAACCGCTGTCCTCTCCTCACCTGCATCCTTCTTTTGCTTCCCTGCGTTCTCTTCTTCTTTGTTAAGATGGAAGCTGTTTTTTTTTTTCCTTTAACAGTCTGTCAAAAACTGGAGGAAGCAATTTAGGAAACATCCTTTTATGCAGCTTTGTCTGCAGGCAGGATGTTTAATTGATGCCACGTCACAGAGACATTTATCAGGTCGACTGTGTTCGCAAAACCTGCCCCACCCAGTGTTTGATCAGCAACAACAGACACATGAACAGTAACTCACCAGCTTCCTCCACATGTCCCTCTTTATATTAAATATAATATAATAAATATTTCAACCTGGCGTTTATTTAAACTGTGGCATAAATGTGTCTATTCTGACATGCTAACTTTGCACTCGCCTCCTTTGCTGTAGAGATTTAGATAAATTAGGATTCATGCTGCGCGAGCCTCCTACAGCTTTCCAAATAAAGACGATTTTTACATGAATCATTTCAAACGATTATCTCTGAGTCTGGCCGAAAGTAAACACAGAAAGTAGCCGGCTATAAATGCCATTCACTTCTTTCCTCACTTCCTTTCCTTCCTTCCTGGAGAATGGGAAACGAGGAGGGGAGGAAAGACGAAACACGAAAAAATGGGAGGATATATGTAAGAAAATATAATTTAACTCCTCACACTTTCCTGAAGAATTTGGACAATTTGGAGAAACAACAAAACTCAAGTAAAGTCAGAAATATTCACGTGTAAACACTGAGCTGTACAACACAAGGCTTTACAACCTTGTAAGGAATACTTGAAGGATATAAGATAAACACTTTCAGAAGAGAAAAGCAGGCAGTATAGTGCGGTAAAGCTGTATTACTCAGCAGTGGCCACATATTTAATGAGTGAGGCAACTGTTCATGCCGTCATCCGATGACTAAATAGGTAACTTAATGGATCAAGAGATGAGATAATTATCAGAGCAGCATGTCACAAAACAAAAATGAAAACCAAACGGCTTTTACAAGTTCAGACGAGTCTTGACAAACGGCTCGGTCGGTCACAATCAGGTGGAGATTTGTGGGAAGAAAAGAGTCTTACACCTGCACGAACCAACATGTCAGGGGCGCTCACTTTCAGTTTTACTTCCAAATAAAATGATTTCATCTGGATAAAATGCTGATTTGTTTCCAACCTGTCTGATCGTCTGACTGCTCGTGTTTCTTCCTCTTTTTAGCGACATCACCGTGTTTCCAGAACTCGGCAATTATCAGGAATGAGTCCTAAGGCTGGACCATATGGCCAAAAATGTTATCACGATAAAAAGTTTCATATCTTTCGATATCGATAACTATCACGGTAAGTATTAAATTGTTACTTCTTTCAAGTTTAAAGGCTGATTTTTGCTCCTGAATGAAAGTTGAAGAAACCTGATGGTTAATTCACAAATCTGAGGCAGAACATTCAAAACAATTGTAAAATTAATTGTAAAATTAAGTAAAAGCTTTTCTTTTTTTTTTCAGCCCTTTTTCCTCAACAAAATAAACATCTTAATAAAACAATTAAGTCCTAATTTGTGTGTGATTCGAGTGAATAAAATCAAACATTTATTGAATATTTATTGAACATTTGTTATATTGTTATTGAAAATTATTTTCATTGTTTTATTGTCCAAATGAGTACAATGTTAAAAGGCATCACATTGCTTGAACTGCAATCCTTTTTCACATCATCTTACAGCATCTCTAACCGTCAACTTTCTGAAAACTGACAATCCAAACAATCACGCCCACTTTAAGCTGCAAAATACCTTTTTTAACACCAGATGATAACTCTGCTTTTCCTACCATGACAAGTCAAGGTTAAAAACTTGAACTTCTCTCTGCAGCTATCTTTGTTCACGCTAGGGATTTCACAAGAACCAATACTCCGGTACCAAGTAGAAAATTCTGAAAACATGTTGGTTCGACTCGGCAAATAGAAAAGAGTATGGAAACCAGAATTAAGTGAGTTTCGCGGCTGTTACCTTCAACACAGTTGGAGAGCTAATTTAGGCAGATGTTTCACATTTTGATCACCGGAAAATCACCCAAGATGACGATGCAGTTTGCAGCACTAAGAACTGAATGTCTGTCCGACTCGGTTGTTAGTGTAGACGGAGTTAGGAACCATCTCGAAAGAGCAATACGATCCATTTCAATCATCAATAACTGTTTTGTTTTTCTATATAAAAATGTCAGATAACTGCCAATACAGATAGTGACCACCCTTAAAACATTTTACACCTGTGCGATGGGGACGTGATGGAGCAGTGGATAAAACACATGCCTTTGGTGTGAGAGACCCGGGTTCGAATCCACTGTGAGACACCAATGTCTCTGAGCAAGACACCTAACCCCTCGTTGCTCCAGAGGCGTGCGACCTCTGACACATATTGTAAGTTGCTTTGGATAAAAGCGTCAGCTAAATGGGTAAAGGAGAAATTAGTTTAATGATTAAATTTGCACTGTGCAAGGTTATAATTTGAATACCTGAATTGCTCATTTATAAATATATTGACATCAAATCTTATCTGTGCTGGACATCCTCTCACCACTTTCACAGCTGTTGTATGTATGATGAAGTGCATGATGGGATTTATTGTTATTTACGAGAATCGTGGAGTTTTACTGTTATCAGTATCGACTACTAAATTTCTGGTATCGTGACGTGCTTCACACAACTACTTCCGTCACTTTGTTCGATGTGTTTGTGCTGCATCTATAACAGCGAAAATCTCGCCCCGCCTTCAAACGTGGCCAGTTTAAACACTTTTTCCTTTAAAAAGATTGTCGCACGACACGTCATATAAAAATACCAAAAAAGTCAAAACTTCACTCATCCATGTTTTCTCAAAATCTGAACTTTGGGATCGGATCAGAAACACTGATCAGAAACCAGCATGTTAGAAAGTAGGGTTTCCCTTACATGTAGGTTTTTAACCCAGTGCAAGAGACTTAAACCAGTATGATGCAGGGCAGCAGACTGGGAACAGAGAAGAGAGGTGTTGGCCTCTTTCTGTATGCAGCAGGCAGAGCGAGCTCTTCTGCAGAGCAGGCCTCCATAACAAAAGCTCAGAGAGAGAGAGAGAGACACTGGGAGTCACCTCCCTCTGCTTCTGTCTCTCTTTATCTTCTCCTCTTTTTCTTTCCTTGCATCATTCTGCTAGCATTAGCATCAGCTGGCTGATTAAATCAACATACCATGAAGGATTAGGCTTAACACACACACTAATTATTTCATAAGTACAAAACAAGGGCAGCAGAGAGCAGGTTCAGCAGTACGTACCACATCTCTTCTTCTTCTCCTTTAGTCCATCTCGTTCCCTTCTTCTTCTCTTCCTGAGTGTCGGATGTTGGAGGATGCAGAGAGAGAGGGAGAGAGAGGGAGGGAGGGAGGTGCCTTTGATGTTGTGGCAATCCCACTGCAGAGAGAGAAAGAGAGGGAGGGAGAGAGGTGATGCTAACAGAGAGGAAGCTAATGCTAAACTAGCCACCAGCTCAGTATGGGACGGTGGGACGGACGGATGGGAGGGATGAGGATGATGATGCGGCACCTTTTCAGTATGGAAACAAGAGGGAGAGAGCGGGGTGCCCTGTTACCTTGGAAACTGAGATGAGGTGATGGAGAAGGTGGAGCCGAGCTCTGATTGGCTGGCAGGGTGTGGCGCTCCCCTTTCCTGAGGGAGGAGGGAGGAGGAGGAGGGGGATGACAGAGCAAAGGCTGGTGATGTGAGAAGCAGCTGCTCTTTCTTTTTCTGTGCCGGAGGAGGAGAGGCTGCACATGGCGTACAGGAAGCCGTGGACGCCCCCAGCTGGTGACTCCTGGAAGTGCAGAGGAAGAACAATGTACTGCGTTCCTAATACATTTATCAATACACACTTCACCTTTACTTTTCCAATAATGTTCTAGTAAAGAATTTATACGCGATATTAAGTGAATCATTCCCCTAAATAATTTTTAAAAAATTAAAAATTTCTAAGCCAAACCTGACGCGATGACTTTTTGTTGTTTGTTTTCTGTGAATGTATTTTGTTTATATGGCTCCCCACGATGCTTTATAAGACTAAAACTACGTATTATTATTTATTATTTGCACCATTATATCATAGGATATCTTACAATTCACCAAATGTGTTTACCTCACTATCGAACCTGGATTTACTGCTGTTTTTGTATATAGCAATGTTGCACTATTTTTATATCATACAGAAAGTTTCTCTATGCTGTTTGGTTTTAAGTACTTTGTTTTTACGCCTTGGGTTGGTTAGTGAGGAACGCCATTTTCGATTCCTCTGTACGTCTGATACACAATTGACAATAAAGCTGACTTTGACTTTGATATCAGGCTCAGTGAAATATCAGTTTAATCCAAATGTTGAAGGTAACACATTTAATTGCATCACGAGCAAAATTCAAAACACTTCCAGAATAAAATTTAATTTTATGCGAAATTCAAATTAAAAACATGATAAGTAGATATTAAAGATAATATAATTCAATTAAACTAATAATCTACTGACGGCCACAGTTAATTCAGTAGTCCAGCAAGGAAACAAAAAAAATAAATATGTGGACATATGAATAAAGTAACTCATATACTTTGAGCTCAACCAAATATATTTTATAAGGGCTAATATAAAACATTATAAGACTCTCTAAGATGCTCTAAGAGTGCAAGTGCTTAACATTTATAACTATTAAATACTTATTTAGTAATCTAAATGACTAATTTGGTAGTAATTATAGGGAAAGTGGAGACAGTGTTCAATTTGTACATTTCCAATTAACTCCTCCATTGTTGAGTTTTAAATCATCTGTCAAATCATTCCCATTCTTTACATTACTAAACAAAACATCACGTTTTTCTCAATATAAATTAAATGATAATTGTGGTGGAAATGTATATTTCCTTATGGAGAAATTAGTGCTGGGCAATAAAACAATAATGATAATTATCTTGAACCAAGTCCAGTTGCCCTTGATTTTAACCTTCGTTGGATAATGATAATTATCGCAAAATAATTTTCCTCAATAACAATATAATGTTCAATATATCGTCAATAAATATTTGCTTTAATTAATTTAATCACAAATTAGCACCTAATTTTCCTATTAAAATATTTATTTTGTTGAAAAAGATAATAGTTTTAAATGTTCTAACTCAGATTTGTGAAGTGATCCACTGTTTGGTATCAAGTATTGTCACATTCTGACCATAAAGAAAAGTTTAACCACATAATGGTTTCTATAGTTTTCAGCCTTTAAACTTGAAAGAAATAATGATTTGACATTTATTGTGATAACTATCGATATCGAATGATATGAAATGTTTATATCTTCATAACATTTTTGGCCAAATGAACAAACAAAAGAGTTACAATTACACACTTGTTTTTGGTGTATAAAATGAGAAATGGTCGAAAGAGTACAAAACAATTTAGCTGGGTCAGAGTTCTGTCTCTTCCACACTGGGCAGCATAGATCATCTGGCCCCGAAGGAAAGGAGTGCTTAACCATTTGAAGGCAGTGGCACATATGCTTCATCTAGAGAGGAGCTTTCTCAACCTTGAAGGAGAACAATCTGTCTGCAAACTGCAGAGACTGAGAAAACAAGGCCACCTCTATCCCCTCTGACCGAAACACCAGCCTGCACAGTATCAAAATACCACAGGAGTATAAGTACGCAATTGTAGGTATATATATATATATATATATATACATAAACACTCAATTGACAGCATGCATATAAGCAATATCAATTAAAAAGGTTCTGCCATCAAATCTATATTGATTTAGTGTTTCCACAAGATAACACATTAGGCAGTTTTCCTTTTGTCAAAACTTAAAGCTCCTTAAATTCTGGTGTTTAATATTATGTGTATTCATGACTAAATAAGCAACAATAAAATGTATACGTTCCTGTGTGTACTATATATACACCTTATACCTGAACATGTTTTTTTTTTATATCAAACTAAACCACAGCGCCATCTGCTGGGAAATTACAGAAAACTTTATAAAACAGAGACGACATAAAGCAACTGTGAAATATTCTCTGTCCAGTTGACACTATATGGACAAAAGTACTGGGACACCTACACATTACTTTAACATCCTATTATAAATCTATAGCCATCCCCCCTTTGCAGCTATAACAGCTTCCACTCCTCTGGGAAGGCTTTCTACAGGCTGTTTAGAGTGTGTCTGTGAGAATTTCTGCCCATTCATCCAGAAGAGCATTTGTGAGGTCAGACACTGATGTTGGACATGACGGCCTGGCTCGCAGTCTCCGTTGTAGTTCATCCCAACGGTGCTGTATAGGGTCGAGGTCAGGGCTCTGTGCGGGCCAGTCAAGTTCTTCCACACCAAACTGGGTTAAAACATTTCTTTATGGAGCTGGTTTTGTGCACGGGGGGCATTGTCATGTCATAGGAGAACAAAAGGCCAACTGTTAGAAGAACTGTTGGCTAAAATATTGTAGCATCAAGATTTATCTTAAGACCACACCATGAAAAAACAACAGGGGTGTCCCGGTACCTTTGTCCATATAGTGTATTACATATCATTAGCAGCGCAGTGGCCGATGGATCTTTTCCCCCATGAGCACAGGTGATCACATGAATGATGGCCAGGTGTAAGCAGGGCCACTGAACAGACACACCTGAGTGGGATTCAGCCTAATGAGTTTCACCTGCCACTGACAACAAGCAAAAAATATACTCAGTGTGACAGGTTATGTTCCAGCTGTTTCAAGAATCATCACATATAAAACACACAATTAAATTCCTGACAGATAAATCGATTAGTGTGTTGAAAAATAGTAGAAACCGACTAGGGATAATTTAATTGAACACTAGTTGGTTGATTTGACTGTCTAGCTGAATCAGACTAGTAGTAGCACAGCTTTGGGAGTTCATTTAGCTCATTTTTACATTAAATGTAGTTATTCTACAAAACTCTTTTTTAAAAAAAATATTATATAGCTACTGGAACATGTGATTTTCAAAGAGAAAAGGTAAAAAGTCGAAAGCATCAAGAAAACCATTAGGCTAACCTTAGCTAACAATTAGCCATTAGCTAACGTTAGCCTGTGTGAATAATGCTGACATTAGTAAATTACTTATGTTAAAAGGTTATTAATAACCTTCTTAACGTTTGAGATATTTTTATAAGAGGAATATAATTTATTTCCTTTCTTTTTTCATCTTGGAAGACGAGAAAAGTCAAAACCAGAAAACAAGTTCATGCTAATGCTAATGTTAGCTACCGAAATTCGTTAGCTATCGAAAAACGTTTAAAATTGTTTAAATATACCTGTGGTCATTATTACTGGAGAAAAACGTAGCAATATAATTAAAACATTACCGATTTTCTCTTTTCATCTTGAAGTCAAGACAAGAAACAACAAACCACAAAATAATTTCTAAAAAACAATTAAGTTAGTTAAGGTTAACACATCATTAACGTTACCTTGTAGAAAGTCAGTAGAAAACTTTTTGGTTAGTCTAACATCTTATAAAGAAAATGGTTATTGCTTTATGTGAAGTTTGGGTATTTAAAAATTGCCTACCTGAGGTTTTTATGGGCCTTTTCAACCCTTCCGTCCTCAATTCCACAGCCCAGCAGGTTCATGTCCAACACCTGAAGCCAAACTACGGTCATAAAAGTGCCTTTTCCTGGTTTACCAAATATACTAACCACGAAGATTATGACATAAGGTTTTAAAAGTATTTACCAAAATCTAATAGTTCCCCTGATAAAATCGGCGTCCATAACCCCCTCCTATCATTAAAGTTTAATACCCGTTGACTGTTTCTCCCAGTAAGTGGACCAGGAGGACTCTTGAAGAGTGTGAAGAGAAGGAAGCTGTCCAGGAGCAAAGAACACACATGTAATATTTTAAGAGCTAACGTTACAGATACATTTGCAGAAACTCTAAACGTTCATAAATTATATACTTCGAATCATTTACCACCATTGATGAAGCCCACAAAGAATATTACAGCGTTTATAAGCATTATTTGGGATGCATGCAATTCTCGGTAGGCAGGCAAAACTCGGCATAACATCGGGCGACGCCAAAATGTGTGACCCATCAGATTCTGTGACCCAAATGGGAAGTTAAGCGCCAGAGGCTTTGTTGACGATGTGAAGCGGCTGCAGTTTGGTTGGGTTTAGGCACCGAAAGTACTTGGTTGGGTTTAGGCACCGAAAGTATTTCGTTGTGGTTAGGAAAACATCGTCGTTTTGGGTGTAGTCACAGAATCTGATAGGTCACAGATTTTGGTGTTACACCGGGAAAGGCAGGGGATATTTTTCTCACACTTTCTACCACACTGTTAGTTAGCTGTGACTGAATATCGCTGTCCAATCGGCGTCAAGTCGTGTTCCGGGGAGTCCCGCCTCTTTTGGTAAATCTTCTGCCACCTGAAAACGGCTGGGGAAAAAAAGCTATCCTCCAGCTTGTTGCGCCGAAGCCGAATTTTATGCTCACGTTAAATGCGATTGTTATTAAGCCATGTTTTATGTGTGTTGGTGGAGTCAATTTAAAGTTAGCTGCACTCAACCAGTAACAATTATTTGATGTGTTTTTTTTTCTTTTATTGCCAGAAACCAAAGAAGAAAGTTGAGGTCAGGTTAGCATGATGTGGTCACCACTTGCATCTCAGGAGGGTAAAAAGAAGAAGAAGAAGGAAAGCAACACAGAAAATAAACCAAAAACAATAAAATATACTTGTTATATTTCCCCTTACACGCCTTGAACAACACATAGCTCGTTGTTCCTGTGTGATTATAGAGTACAGGAGAACAGTCCTAATAATACTGTGTAACTACAGGATAACAAGTGGATCTTTTTTACCACTCTCTGCTTAACTTATTAGTCTTATGTAATCTGTGTACCTTAAAGAATGAAAAGAAATTCTGTGCTCCTCTGTACCCCATTAAACATTTAAAGATTAGCTATGTTTGATCCACCTGTGTGACATTATTTCATAACTGTAGCCTATAACTTGAGAGGGGTCCCTTAGCTGCAACGCAAGATTAACTGTAAATAATTTTATTCATTGCACATCATCAGCCCAGTGCCACTGCGCTTTATTCTGGATTTAATGTTCCTAAATAAAAGGTTTGTCACAGATGATTGTGTGAGTCATTCTTTTTATCATTATTGTTAAAGTAGTTTCCTTTACATCTAAAGGTCTAAAGATCTGTTGATGTTAACTGTGGACTGTTCATTCATTGTAGACATTGACAATGAACTTCAGGATGTAGCTGTTCACAAATACTGTACAGTATGTAGCCTAAGGAACAATCCTTGTCTTATAGCAGACTTAGACCATCGAACTGGTCACCTTAGACATCATCGCAACAATTGCCTCCCCTGAGAGATTTGGCAGGAGCCGCCACTGAGTTCTTTACAACTAGGCAACATGGATACGCGTGCCCACACGGAGTGGAAGTTGGAAATGCAAGACCCGATGGATGAGGTAATTGTAGGTTTTTTGCATTTTGATTTTTAGATTCCTGGACGAATAGGCTGTGATCAAAGATAGTGAGAGCAGCTGATGTTGGGGAGTACTGAAACATTGCTGAATTGCTAAATTACTATTGATGCAGTCAAAAATTCTCCAACCTCTTTGAAACCAGAAGCTTTGGCTTTTCAGCCAGTGGTTAACAAACTTGGGCCTATTCAGATCCTTTAAAAAATAATAAAAGTACTAATACCTATCTGTATAAATACTCCGCATTGGAAAAGTTAAATAAAAGTATGTAAGTAGCCTATAAGCAGGAAAATGTAGTAGTAGCCTATTAAAAATAAAAATAGCCTACTCAAAGCAGAAAGAAAAATATCCCCTATGACTGTTATACTATTATATTATATCATTCGATTATTATTCCTTGTGCTTAAATGAGGGTATTTTGTATCAAACTGCAATTAATAGTTATTTTAATTAAGAATTAATCAGCTTTAATAAATTGTGAAAATAGTGAGAAATGTTGTCACAGTTACCCAGAGCCCTAAGTGACACCTTCACAATGCTTATTTTGTCAGTTCAAACCTCAAAACTATTAAAAATACATTAAAACAATAAAAAATAAAAGCAGCAAATGTTCATGTTTGTGAAGTTGGAACCATGAATTGTTTTTACATGAAAAATGACTAATACCAAAACAGTTTCCAATTAAATTTATGTCAATTAGCCTATGTTCTACTAGCTGGACATGCATAAGTAATTTAATTTATATCACAATATCCTAATTTTTTTAACCCTTCATACGTTTTGTGTGTAAAAAGCTTATTTTTAAAGTAACTAGTAACTGAAGCTGTCAGATAAAGTAAAAAGTACAATATTTTCCCTAACACTCAAGTTTAGTACAAATGCCTTGTGTACTTAAGTACAGTACTACTTTGTTGCTGTCCACCACTGGGCTTGGCTTTGGCTACCTGAAAAAAGGACTAGAGATGTTTTTCCACATCTTGGCTCTGGACGGAAAGCTGTCATCCATCATGATGGTGAAAATGGCTGGCCTTGAGACCCCAACCCCTGTCATCATCCCCCGGCATTAAAATGTGCAACAAACAATTACAGCACAAAACACCGTTCATAAGCTGAAATGTCACACACACAGCTCGGGATACAAACGTAGGGCAAGTTCTGCAATCCTAGGCCTATGTGTACAATATACACTGAGCACTGCAGTTCAGTGGGCTCGTTTGGGGCCAAATTTCTTTTTATTTGTGATAAATTTGTATTTTTGAAATGTATGTAGTCTTTTATCTGATTTACCTATTGTTATAATTTCTATTTGTTCGGGTCAATTACCAACTATAGGTAAAAATGAACTGCTAGTAAAAACTTGAGGGAATTGTCTGGGGCCATGGGGCCGCTGCTGCAAATATTTGAGTGGCTCCTCCTCTAACACGTGTTATCTCACTCCAAATTTTTGATTTGAAAACTTGAGAGCACTGGTACATCTGAACCTTCACTTTTGAAGCGTTTGTGGTGTGCAGCGTAGCATTTGGTCACTAGATGGCACACTTAACCTTCTCAATAACTATTGTTTGAATCAGCAGAGGTCAGATATTCATACTACTATGTAATTCATCTTAAAAGGAGCCACACATAAACACCAAATACACCAAACTGTGAATTATCTCCTGTTACTACCACTAACGCTGGAAAGTAAGTACAAATACTCACTTACAACTTTGAGGCACTTACACTTGGAGTACTTAAATTTAATACTACTTTATACTTACACTCCACTAAATTTCATGAGTAAATATTGTACTTTTTGTTTTACAGATCAACAATATGCATTTAAAACATAAAAAAGTCTAAATTAAAAGCACTCGTTCTGCAGTAAAATGTCTCCTGCGTTTTTTTTAACAACTTTATATACAGTTAGCTAGTTTAGTCCAGTGGTTCCCAATCTAGGGGTCAGAGAAGAAGAAAAAATAATGTTCTGATACACAAATCTTATTGTTTTAGGAGAAAACTTTTCTTTTCTTTTTGTGTGAAAGATTGGACAGTTTAATTTACATGTAACCATCTGAGAAGTTTAGAAGGGAAATTTACTGCTAACAACATCTGAAATACAACAGAAGGCCCCTGCTTCATCATGAGGGGCCCAAACATAAAAAGGTTTGAAACCACTGGTTTAACCTTTAACTTGATGCACTTATAAAATAAAACATACACTGTATATGTTTTATTTATATAGCACATTTAAAAACAACACTAGTTGACCAAAGTGCTTTCCACAATGACAACAGTAGAAAAAGTAAAAAATAAAATAAATGTCACTACTCAACTCTGTTTGAATAAAGATAGGTCTTTAGCAAGGAGTTGAAAGTGTCAGGAGTTTGGGCATCATGTTTTTTATTTCTATCTGAAAGTAACCAGTAACTGTTGCTGTTGCATACATGTAGTGGAGTAAAAATGTAACTGGATATAAGTACAAGGTAAGTACTTGCAACACTTTTCCCCAAAGAACAGACCTTGAGTAAATGTAAGAAGTTTCCCGAGTACTTTTAGAATGCAAGGCTTTTACTTTTACGAGTATTTTTTTTATTATAGTGGGGTATTGCATTTTCTTTAAATACAATAGTTGTTATCACTTGTAAAGTATCCATTTTAAAAGATCAATATTTCACGCAATACTTTCACAACTGACTGCTAGTACTGCAACTTCTACTAACAGTACTACTGTGTACAGTACTGAGATAGCCCCTCACATTTTTGTAAACATTTGATTAAATCTTTTCATGTGACAACACTGAAGAAATGACACTTTGCTACAATGTAAAGTAGTGAGTGTACAGCTTGTGTAAATTTGCTGTCCCCTCAAAATAACACATCACACAAAGTGAAAATGTCCAAATCGGGCCCATTTAGCCATTTTCCCTTAAGCCCCAGATATACTTGCTTTTAATTACGTGTTTGTGTACGAAAGATGGCTGCCACGCGAATCCTGCGTTCCTTTGGAGCGAAGGTTCTGCACGTCCCTTGAAATTAATGATACGCGTCTGCGAGATACAATTCAAATAGGAAAGTTTTGCGTGTCTGTAAACAACTATGTCTCTTCATTCTGTCCAGTTAAATATGGTGTGCCTCAGGGGTCGGTCTTAGGACCCATTTTGTTTTCCTTGTATCTGCTTCCCCTTGGACATATTATCCATAAACATGGCATTTCTTTTCATATTTATGCTGATGACACACAAATATACTTGCCCGTCAGATCCACAGACCCTGGAATGCTGAGTTCACTTAACAACTGCCTTTGTGAAGTTAAAAAATGGATGTCAAATAATTTCCTCCAGCTGAACTCAGACAAAACAGAAATCCTGGTCATCGGGTCCCAGCAGATGGCAAATCAAATACTGCCATCTGCTGGTTCCCTAGTAAATCATATTAAGCCTGTGGCAAAGAACCTTGGTGTTTGGTTTGATAGTAATTTAAATTTCGAGCAGCACACCACAAAGCTTGTTCAATCATGTTTTTATCAACTTAGAAATATAGCTAAAATTCGATCTATGTTAACTTTTAAGGACACCGAGACCATTTTACACGCCTTCATCTCATCACGCCTGGATTATTGCAACAGCCTTTTCACCTGTTTAACCCAAAAATCTATTGATCGACTCCAGAATGTCCAGAACTCAGCTGCCAGGCTTTTAACCAGAACAAAGAAATATGACCACATTACTCCTATTTTAGCTTCATTACACTGGCTGAATTGACTTTAAAATTCTATTGATCACTTTTAAAGCTCTTCATGGCCTCTCGCCTTGTTATATTTCTGACCTTTTAGTCCCATACGCACCAGCACGTACCTTGAGATCCTCGGGCAGAGGTCTGTTGTCTGTTCCAGAGTCTCGACTGAAAACTAAAGGGGGACAGAGCGTTTGCTGTCAGGGCCCCGAGGCTCTGGAACAGCCTGCCCGAGGAAATCAGGTCGGCTGAGTCAGTGAACTCTTTTAAGTCCCTTCTTAAAACATACTTTTATAGGAGAGCTTTTCCCGATCTTATTTGACTTTATTTTATCCCTTTTATTTTATTGTATTTTACTAATTTTATATTAAATTTTCATGCTCTTATCTTTTTTTTTGTATTATTCTTTACACTCGTTAAAGCACTTTGTAACTTGTTTTTGAAAAGTGCTCTACAAATAAGGATTATTATTATTATTATAATTCAGCGCATGAACGTGGAGGCAGTATGTGGATCTGACCGGCAGCTCAGCAGCAATCTACTGTTCCACACACCAGCCAAGGTGGTGGCGGTGTGCAGTTGGTTTGCCAACCGCCATTAAACACAAAACTGCATTTACTGAGATCGTTATAATATATCATTAAAATCTTAACCTCTTCAAGTTTCGCCATGTTTGGTTTGTTTATGTTGTGCAAATTCGGAGGTTGTCAAGGAAGATAATCCGGTGTCGCTGAGGGATGATCTGCCCCCGAGTGAATTCACGTTTAATCCTCCAGGTACAGGCAAATTACACAGGCAAGTATGTGAACAACGCCGTTTGCGTTGCCTACGCATTGTTAAAAGCAAGCATGTCGGGGGCTTTAGGGGTGCAGTCACTTTTGTTGCCAAGGGTTTAAGACATTAATGGCTGTGTGATGTGTTATTTTGAGGGGACAGCAAATTTACACTGTTATACAAGCTGCACACTCACTACTTTACACTGGAGCAAAGTGTCATTTCTTAAGCGTTGTCACATGAAAAGATTTAATCAAGTCTTTACAAAAATGTGAGGGGTGTGCTCACCTTTGGTGAGATACTTTATATGTCCTTGAGAAAGTTCCTTCAGTTGAACGTCACAGCTTCATATGGAAAACTAATATATAAAGGTTTATTTCTAAACCCAATAAAGATACAGTAGAAAAAACTCGAGTCAAAGGCAGCTTTTGGAAAAAAAAGAAACTTTTATTTGGAAACATTATGGAGAGAAAACAGAAAAAAAACAACTTGTTTTAGAGCTTTTTCATTTCTGAAAATCATTTTTATTTACTATGATACACAGCGGATGGTGTTAAAAGTCAGTTGGTTTGTACACCGGTGTGACTGGATGAGAACAGATCTTAAAAGTAAAAAGTTGATTGATTGATGAAAAACTACAGACGAACAGCTTTTAATCTTTTAGTATCTAGCAGCTGTTGAAACCCCCCCCCCGGTTCTGTTCCACTCTCGCCATTCGCTCCCTTCAATGTGCCCTTCAATGTCCTCTTCAGTCCAACATCATAAAACCTTCAAATGAGCTTTTGGCTACTTCCACTCTGAATATTTATTTATGACGTTTGTCTGCAGCAGGTCTCCATTCCAGACACGTGTCCCCTTCAAAGTGCCCTTTAAAGTCAGCTAAATCAGATTCAGGACAGGCTTTTGGCTCCATTTCTTTCCCTTCAGGACGACCTTTTCCCTCAAATTAAAATCTATGCTGAGCTGTTGGCTTCGTTCCTTTCCTACCCTTTTAAAAGTTTGTATCCGCTCACGTTTTGTTTTCATTCTAAAATATCCGGTAGGAGTACCTTGTTTTGTCCGACGAACAATCTAAAACCCTCAAATATTGCATTGAAAAGCAGCAAATTTCTGGTATTTTCGCGTAATCACTTACTTAAAACGATCAAAATATAAATTAAAAAAAAGAGAGAGAGAAGCTCCAATCTCAACCAAGAAATGTCTTGTGACGCCGTGTAGGAAACAGTTGACCATCCGGCGAGGACACATGAGACGCACGTCTGAAATGGGACCCCCCCCCGTTCGACATTCTTGTATAATTGGATTCATCCCCCATCGCTCAACGAAACACTTAGAGAAAGCTGGAAACAATCTGGGTGAAAACTGAAAAATCCCAAAGTTAAATCGGAGTTATCTGGTTCAGTCGGGGGAACGTTAAGGAAAAGAAACTTAGCGGCTGCTGACACCATTTTTAAAGTGACAACAGCTGCTCTCAATTTCACTTTCACTCCCAATATTTTCTACTTAGTAGCACCAAACATAAACGCAAAACAGCCGCTGGCAAGAGCAATGCATTCTGGGTGTGATGGACAGCTGATAAGACGTTTAAAGTTAAGTTTAAGGGGTAATGAACTTGTCAGGACAGAGGGGAAGGTCATGAAAGAGTGCGTGTTTTCTTACTGCTGTATTTTCTAAAGACTCTTATCTTGTTTTTTGTGTGAAATTTGCACCAGAAAAGTCTTTAAATTAAAAAGTACTGAAGTTCAGAATAACAGTTGACCAAAAAAAAAGACTTTTGAAGTTTCCACAGTGGAAATCAGGACTCCATCTGACCCTTTCAAGTTATTTAAATATTTAATTCAGTACCTCCACAAAGTAAATGTGTGTATTTTCACTTTGTGTCTCTCGGGTCAGAGCCCAGTATCAGTTTTTTATGAAATACACAGTTGTTGTGTGAAGTTGTTTTCAGACTAAAAGAATCTCTTCTGTACATCTGGATTGAATAATACTCCCGTCAGATGATTTAAAATAAAAATCAAGAGACATTTAGCCTGACATCGAAACAAAAACTGCTGCCTGGAGTGACATACAGTACCTCCCTTTATAATAAAACACATTATTGAGTATAAATATACAAGTTAATAAAGATCACAGTAATATAAACTCTACAGCTGCTATTATAAGTTTTTAATTTTGGTTCACGTCATACAGTGCAGTAAAATAAGTCGATAACGCTTTCAAAATACTTTTCTTAGGACATTGTCTGGAAAGAACTGCGTCATGTGATACTATTAAATGAGAAACTAAATTTATTTAAAATAAAAACTCAAATAAACACTTCACCATCTGTATATGTTGAACTGTTTGCCTGTAGACACATGTTGAGCTGCTGTGTCCTGATTAAAGGTTCTCTGGGTGACGAAAGCAATTAACTGAAATTAATTGATTAGAAGTGTGCTAATTGAACAGAGTGTATTATTCCTATAATTAGTACCAAATTACCAGAGGTGGAAGTATTTAGATTTTTTAGTCAGGTAACAGTAGCAATACCACTACGTACCCAAAAACATCCTCTATTAGCAATAAAGATCTGGAAGATTTTTTAAAGAAGTACAGCTGTTAAAAGTAGTTAAATATACTTAAAATTACAATATTTCCCTCGGACATGTAGTGGAGTAGAAGTATAAAATGAAATACTCAAGTATAGTACCTCAAAGCTGTAAGCACAGCACTTGAGTAAATATTCTTTCCAGGAAACTTTACGGAAATTATTCAGACCTGCAAAATAAAGCGTTATCATTTCCGACTATCATCCTTGTTCCAACGTGGAAAACAGGTTAAAAATCTTTGTTATCATAAAGCAGATGGAATTTTTTTTCATTTTTATCCAGATGGACAGAAGAGTGTTTGTGAAGACTCCTGCAGAACATCGTCACGGGGGGAGGGGGATTTGTCTTTCAGGGAAAACGGCGCTCGGCACGTGTACAAATACACGAAAGAGACAAACCGGGGCAAAGGTGAGCCAAGGTTTAAGCGATGAGGGACGAAGAGGAGTTAAAACTCAACCATCTGTTATCAAACCCCCTCCCCTCTATACACACACACATACACACCATCAGAAAAATAAAGATGGGTTTCAGTCACGCCATCAGAACCACAAAGAAATATGATTATAGCTTGTGACAGATTATACAGTCCAGTACCCCGTGGTATTTCACTAAATCGGAACCTCTGCTGCTGATAAATTTATATATATATTTATATATATATATATACTTATATATACTTCTTTCCTCTATTTAGGGAAAACTATTCGACATATAACCAAAAATATGATATTAAGAGTTGATTTCTTGCTTGACAGAAAAGAAACAAATGCAAAAAGAAAATGAAACCCCCTCTGTGGAAATGTTCCCCTCAAACCAGAAAGATTCAGATAAAACGATCTGATCAAACGCTCCATTCGGAGTTTCAATGAGTTTCATTTCTTTTTTTTTTTTCTTTTTTTTTTTACTTTAAAGTTCTTCTTTTTTTCACTAAGTGGCAAAACAGAGACATGCAAATTTTTTAATTTTCCAACAAACCAACAGAAGAAAAAAATAAAATAAAATTGAAATGACAAAAAAGTGGGAGGCGTCCTCCTTGAAATCCAATCCAGAATGCATCCCGACGTAGTGGTTTCCTCGCTCATGTGCCATCATCGAGGGGTCGGGGTCGTCTCCTTCAGAACGAGAGACGTCAGTCGTTGCGTTAAGAGTTAGAGAAGAGACGAGACAGGCTGAAGGTTCGTAGTAAAGTCTGGATCTCACGTACGGAGCTACACGAGTCCGTCAGTCCGGAAGGATTTTGAATTTGTTTTCCCTTCCTGGATCCCCCCCCCCCTTCCCTCAGCAGAGAAGGTTTCTAACTGGCTGTGACACAGATACACACACACACACACACACACACACACACACCATCGTCATCACGCACACACACAGGGTTGAAATTAAGACGTTACCAAAAAAAATTATATAAAAATAAAAACAAGAGAAATAAAGATGATAAAAATGTAAACTACACAAACAAACGTGAAATTGGCATTTGGGACTTTTGACACGGATCGTGCATGTGCTGTCCTTTAAGGGGTCAAAGTTCATGTGGTGGGTAGGAGGGTCATTTCATTTTCTCTCCTAGTATTTAAAAACAGAGGCTTAAGATAATCCACGCTTTCTCATATTTCCACGAGGTTCATAAATCTGTGTGTGTGAGGCTGTTGGACGCCTGGTGCAGAAATGAAACGTTCCTCTTACTTACTGACCGGTTTCTGGGGTGAAAGGGGCAACAACAAAAGACAAAGAAGAAGAAGAAGAAGAAGAAGAAGAAGAAGAAGAAATGTTTTCCTGTGCTGAAGATCTCAGCGTGCAAACAGTCCGTCAAATATCTAATGACTCAGTCGGTATCAGGTGTTTTATATTTGCAGTCGTGGGGACTCTTTGAGTTTTAACTTCCCTTTTCTTTGTCTGGGAGCAGGGAAAAGGGGGGCGGGGTTTAAGGGGGGGTTTGGTACGGACCCCAGTGTGCTATTCCGTCAGGGTAAGGTAGGAGGAAGGTAATCTATAACGAGTCCAAGTCAGACCCTGCTAAACGGTTAGTGTTGTCACTATGTGCCGAATCAAATCAGTCCACACATCAGCTATTTTCAGTCTTCGTATCCTAAAAGGGGCAGTCAGATCCACAAATTAGTTCCAAAAGGTGACGTCCGATTGTAATTCTCTAATCCGGGATTTACCTCGCGGGATGAGCCGATCTCACAGATTAGGTTTAATCCAACAAACGGTTGATGTGTCTCTAAACCCCCGAAGCTCGTTCACCTCAAAGTCGATGACAAACAGCAGCTGCTGAATAACCCAAAAATTCACCAACCAGGTCTTTTTATGTTTTATTTCAACAGCCGACCGGCGTTTTGTTTGACCTCCCGGCAATTGTTGGCCAGAAGCTGCCTGGCGGCGCACACAGACAGCCCCGGACTTCATTTCCCAGCATGCTCCTCTGGCTCTCAGATCAGCGGGTCGGGGTGCAGGGTGTGCTGGATCTGCTGCGGCTGCAGGGGCGGCGGCAGCTGCAGCGGGAGCAGGGCCTCCACCATGTTGTGGCAGTGCGGCGGCGGCGTGCCCTCGCTGCTGGAGCTCTCGGCCACCTCGCCGCCGTGGAAGAAGTAGTCGCTCTGGACGATGAAGGACTCGATGACGGCCTGGTTCAGCTTGGTGGTGGACAGCGTCTCCTTGTTCTCGAAGTCGGGCCGCATCAGCGTGGGCCAGAAGCAGATGGACAGGTTGTCGGCCGTCATCAGGGTGGTCTTGCTGTGCTGGCTCACCCTGCGGGAGAAAAACGGATCAATCGTTTATAATTATTGATCACAGAGAAGCCACAAAGATGAAAAGACGGCGTTGGTTTCCAGGAAGATGCGAAGAAAAATATAATTTGTTTATTGTTGGTATTTACTGTTAATGACACGATATGAAAGGTGTATTTTTATAAGTTAATACTGTCATTACGTCGAACAGGGCATTATGGGTAAAATCATTTTGCATTATGATGTAAAGTTTAGAATATATACATTATTATTTTATATTTATATTTTACTTTATATTATATACATAAAGGATATTTTTCTTATTACTCAATCAATATTAATTAAAATGAATTTATCAAAAATAAATATCAAAAGCTTGTCTTAATAATAATTCAGTATTTTATTCAGTCAACATCCTGTAAGAGAGACACATAAAGCTCCTTAGAATAACGATCATAGTGGCATATTTTCAAATGAGTCTAATTTCCATTAACATTAATAACAGTGCTGGGCAATGATTTTCTGCGATTAATCACATAGTAATGCGTAAAATTGAATAATGAATTCTGATGTAGTGTGCAATTTTAATTTAAATGTACTGCTATATACACAAAAGGTGCAATAACGTGTTTTTTCACCAGCAGTATTCCCTTTACACAGCAGCAATAAAATATTTCTTGTAAATCTCAACTTAAACATTAATGTAATCAAATCAAATATGAAACCAAAGCTATTTGCCACTGCCAGGGAATTAACTTTTATCTAGCTGGTTAAAACAAGAGTCCAGAGCCGCGATCATAAAATCATAACAGGTTAACGTTTATAAATCTGTTTTCAGGTATCAGCAGAAACGGTCTGTGTTCAGTAGAAAGTGTCCCTGTTAGAGTGAGGTTGAAGTGGTCGCCTCACGCACGCGCCCGCCCGCCCTCTGCCGAAGTTGAATTGTCTTGAACTTTTTGTACACGACGCGCAGCACAAATCATTGGAAGAGAGACTGATCCTCGCTGTTTGTGAGTTTTACTAATCAGCATGCAGCGTGTAGCTATCCGCTTCTCTTTGGAGTTTGATCGCTTGTCTTGCTTTTGTTCGGCTGCTTCTCCCACACGCTGCGTCCAGCGTAGTCTGCAGAAGCCTCCCTCCGCTGCTTGTTTCAGAAAAATACTGGACCTTTAAACTCTAAAGGATCGTTGTGACACAGATTAATTTAAACACTTTATGTCGACCCTTTTCTGAACTGGAGAATCCAGAACTTACTGAAGTCCCTGACTTAAAACTTAAAATGGTTATGACACGGATATATTTAATCACTAATTAGACTGTAAGAACAGTCTTAAGTTTTAAGCCATTTTCTCAGTCATACGCGGCCTTTACAGAAACATGCTCTTCGTGTTGATAATTCTAATATATTGTACTTCTGTGGGGGGAAAGTAAACAGGATTTGCAAAGATGACTTCCTGCCGTCTTGCCGTGTTTGTGCGCAACAGTTGTACCGCTGTGATAAGCCGTTTCCAATTTGCAGACCTTACAGAGCACGTCGTTGTTGGGTCTCAAATCCTCCCAAACTAAAGATGGTCGAGGGAATTCGAGGGTAGTCACTTCACTGCAACACGAAACACCACCCGCCCCAGATTACTCCATCAGTTCAGCAGCAGAACTACAGCTGAGACGGACTCAATGGGCCTCACGTAGGAACCACTGGTGAGAACAAAGTTGTTCCTAAGTGGCCGGTACGAGGGATTTAAGAGAATTTGTGGCCTTCAGCCTTGTATGTAGAGCTCTCTCTTTGGTACAAATTAAATTTAGCGTAGTCCAAACCTGTCGTAGGAGTAGAGTACAGATTGTCTTGAGGGTGAAACACCCCATCACGCCTTAATCTGGAAGGATTCTGAGTTTAAATTTGCCATGAAAAGTTACTAAAATACATTAATTATATAACAGACTTGATGCAAAATGAATATCCTGTTCACCGTGTCAATTTACTTTCTTTTTGTTTTATTGGTGTAGTTATACACTTCAGTACTCGAGGTCTTTGTGCAGGTTCCTGTCCGGTCTCATCCTCTGCTGCACCGACAGTGTCACATCACGTACTGCGTGCAGGCTGTGATATCCTCTCGTCTACATATTACTCACGGATCCCTTCGCTTTCTAAAATTTCGTGTCAGACCGTTTCCTCTTTGTATCTGTCACAGCGCTGCTCTACTCTAACGACACGTCGTTGGCAGCTGTATCATTAATATTTTCTTCCTGTTTCAGATCCTCTAATATGACTACCGGCGCTGCTGAACCTGTTTTTCCTGACATCAGCAGACTTGAAGCTCTGCAGTGTGAAATTCCCCTTTTTTGCTGGTTGTGACTGTAATCTTGGCGCCACACGGAGTCGAACGGGCAGCCGTATGCGCCAATTTAAGCGGCGTAGATTAAGCTACAGATGAAATCCATGGCACGGGCACCTCCTCGCGCGCAGGTGGCGTTCATCCGGCTGAAACAAGCGTTTGTCCTGTTGAGAGAGTTTGGTGCATCTGGCTTGGCAAATTTTAAAGTTTCTAAAGTTTTAAGGCAAGAAAGTTGTTGCATGAGGCCCAGTGAGTCTCAAAGCTCGGAGAGACTCGATGCTAAATGAAGCTACCTGCTGCGATGCGTTCACTGTCACCGCATGTGTACGTGCATTTGAAGGTTGAGGCTGGAGGTTCACACACAGAGAGCATGTGGAGTGTGCGTCTTACCTGTTGAGGTGTGTGATGATGTATTTGAAGACCTGGTAGTTGACAGAGGGAAACTTCTTCACGATCTCCCGCAAGACCTGCAGACGCTCGATGTAGTCCACGATTTCTAAAACACAGGGGAGAGACAGGAGTAGGTGTTTTACATTTTACACACACACACTCTCTCACTGGGGAACGGATATTATACTCTCTGGAAAAACAAAATGCTGAGACGCTGCCAAGAGCAACTCCCACGCCGTGCACAAACACACACACTAGCACTAAGCCTCGTGGGCAGAAACAATACTAGCCTGCATCCCGTTTTTACTCTGCGCTGGTTAAAAACAAAACAAGTCAGTTTCTGCAGAAAATAAACACATTTGTTTTAATAAAGTCACAGCAGCATGACACAGCTGATTTAAGGTTCAGCTGTTATCAATAAGCTACAGACTGGAACTAAAACATGAGGAACTACAGGTTAATTTTAATATTTCTACTTTCATGTAACTGCCTTTTGGACTATCTGACATGTGTTATGTGTTATATAGCGAGCTTACAGTGAGTCCCTCTTCTTCGAGAGACAACTTATCTTTTCATCCTGTTAGAATGGAGCCCTGAATTACACACATGGGGTGTTTCTCAAAGCCAAGAATGCAAAGAACGGACTTGTGTTCTTGGGAGAACGGAGTTCTTGCTAGTCGTTCTTGGAAGAATGAACTGGCAATGTCACGAGCGCACAAAACGCTGCTGACGGATTGAGACGATGCGTTCTTGCTGGTATTGCGCAACACCCCCAGCACAGAGGCCGCCTGCATTGCTCTAATTATTATAACAGCCAGGCTTTATCCCCCAAAACTAAAAGCTCAGAATCGGATTTATTGTACGTTTTAACTTACCAAGATATATTTGCACATAAAAAATAACTAAAATAAAATAAAAGCAAATACTATGACCACAACTCTACTGTACACTAGCAATGTAATGTCTAATATAATAAGAATAATAATAAAGCAAAGACTTTCATACTATTTCTGATCATTTGTTTTGTACATCAAGATGTTTTTTTAAGTTAAAATCTCACCAAATTACTCAGAATGTAATGACAGAATAACAGCGGTACGAAGCTTCCCGCCACGCTGACTGTTGCGGAGCGTCACAACTACTAAAACGTTTGAGCACATTTTTGATTCGCCATCATTTTTAGTAAAACTGCCAGTATTCGACATCTACGCAGTTGATTTCTCGCCTCAAACCTTCTCAGAAGTGGATTTAGTGATGAAATAACGTACGAAAATAGTAGAAAACCTTTGTCGTCGGCCTCTCTCTCTGCATCTTTCAGCCCCTCGCCTGAATGCCGAAACGTTTGCTGGGATATCTCTGCCGTCAAGTTCGCACAAGTTACCAACGGATGCACACTTGGTAAAATGGGCGTGTCAACAACACTTCCGGGATTTTTTACCGTTCTTGCCAAAATGCAAACTTGTGTACTGGGACAGTACCTGGGCTACAAAATATGACGTTTCACAAGAACACAAGTACAGACAAGAACACAGATGGAGAAAGGTCCAATATGTTGGTCAATTTAAAACGTAATTTTGCAAGTCAAGAAAGTCGCAGTTTGTCGTAAATCAGTAAAGTTCCGTGTCGTTTTGTGTGAAACCCGTTCAATGAACTACATCTCTCGTCTCGCACAATATACGTCGGCGACATGTTAGCGCGGTAATGCTAAGCTAACGTTCATTGCTTTCTCGCTGCTAGCTAGATAACTCAGCTATGTTCCGTGCGGAAATATATCTCACTTGATAAGTTTAATCAAACGACTCCTGGTCCTTTTTATCACATCATCCTCTCATTTTAGTTTTTTGACGTTAGCTTCAGTCATTGACAGTTACGACGTCACATAACACGACTTTTGGGTTTGTGGTCTTTGTAATTAATGTATTTTCCCAGTCTGGTACCTCAACAGTTTTACATCAAACTGCGACTTTCTTGACTTTAAAACTTATCTTTTAAATTGACAAATTCAAATGGGATCAAAATATTTGTTGTCCCTTGCCACCGACTACCGTACAATATTTTTCCGAAATAAGGTCCCGTGGTGGTCCGCCGGAAGAGGAGGGACTGTAAAAATACATAATTACAAAGACCACGTCAAAACTGTTTCTCTCTCAGTGACTGAAGCTAACAAAGAGCTTCCATGTGTAGATGACATGATGAAAGGACCTGGATTAAACACATCAGGTGAGAAGGTGCGTGGAACATAGCTAAGTTACCTAGCCAGTAGCAAGCAGAGACGTGAAAGTTAGCTTAGCATTACAACACTAACATACTGTGCGAGATGAGAGAGATGTAATTTAATTTAATTTCTCTACAGCTTCACACAAAATGTTACTGACCTTCTCGGCCTTAATTATCTTTTAAACCGAGAAACATCATGTGTGTAATTCAGGGCGCAATTCAAACGGGATTAAAACATTTATTATCTGTTGCCGCAACACATTTTTTCCAATATAAGGTCCCATGGGGCGAAAAGGAGGAACACAGGCTCTCTTTTGTCTGTGTTCTCCTGTTTTCCGGATGCATGTGCTGCTAATTAAGGTGAATCACTGTGAGACGTTTGTCGCCCTGAGTGGGTTTGATGTTAACCACACCTGTCAACAAAGCAGCTATCAGCCCACTACTTATTATTAAATATTTTGACTTGACGAAGGTGTGGACTGAAATGTTGTCTATTTAAATCAGTTTGTAATTAGAGCTCCATCAGGTAAATGTCATCAAGTACTTTCCAGAACCTGCTCATTTAGGCTCCATGACTTTGGAAAAAACTGTGATTAGCTGACGCAGTTTTTGTTCTTCCTGCTCTGCTGAGCTGAAAAGTTCATGTGATTTTAAATGTTTCTAAACTGGAGATTAAATGCTCCACAGCGGTTGGCTTTATTTAGAATCTGTTGATTATCGTTTGATGAGTTGATTACTGTTTTAGTCTCCAAAGTGTCACAAAGCTGACAAATGAATTGCTCACACTCCTTATTTCCTCTGAAACGATATTTTAATTTGCAGCAATAATGAGAAAAGCAGCAGATCCTCATATCTCAGAAGATGCACGAAGAAACAAGTTAAATAATTCCCTATCAAACTTCTTTTGACTAACAGATTAGTTGTCAGTAACATCAAGGATCCTAAAGATAAAACGTTGTGTAAGAAAATAAAACCGCAAATTAAAATACACGACTAGTGATTAGAGTGTCATGTTTCATCAGCTGGAAGCAAGAAACGACGCTGCTGCCGAGACGGTGGAAAGCTGGTTGACGTGAATAAGCAGCGGCAGTAAAACAATAACAAACAAACAGAAGACACATCCTGCCGTGTTCCTGAAAAGTAAACCGTCTGTGAAGTTTCCTCGATATCCCTCATACTCCCGAAGGGATACATCACCTTCCCGCCGGCGAAAGCTCGCTGGAGCTGAAACGCTGCAGTCTGCTGTTAAATATTTAAAGTGGAATAAGAGCTTTTATCTTTGCATTGTCACAACAGAGCTACTCTAACACCGCCTGGAATATCCTGGAGAATATTCCAGACATTCCAGGACCAGCGGAAAGCCTTTCATATATTTTTAGACACACATTTAAAGCCGTACACAGATTTATTACCCCTGCACGCCATCAATCACCTTAACGAGGAGCCAGCGGGAGCCTTTCACCGTCTAATGGCTGTGAGAGGTCAAAGGTCATTAATCCTTGCTGCCATTTCTCAACATTAAGTACAATAAAGAGTTTATCATGTGACCAATATAACAATTTAATCCCCTTTTATTTTATACACACACATCAGTCTGATGGGAAAACCTACCGCCTGACCCACAATGCAATGGGTTTATGGAGCTTAGCGCCGAGAAAAGAGGATGCTGCTGTAGAAAAATTTAAATATAAATAAAAATACTGATTTCAACTACCAATAAAATCATGTTGCTTAGAGATGCACCGATTTTCTTGCTTTCTAAGAACTGTAACTGCCAGCAAACACATATTTTACTGGAAAATTCTTTCTTTCGCCATCATCAGCTGTATGTTGATAATAAAACATTGATTATAACTTAGATTACAGGACCTTCTCTCACTCAGACATCTCAACTAAATCTCACAACTAAAAAGTGCTCCAGGTTAGCATTTAGTGGCTTATATCTTATCTCAAAATTTTACTTCTACTTGTTTATGCACCTTTTTTTTTATTGTTTCCTCACAAACTACTAATCTGATCGCTTTGCTTTTCCCTTCAGACACACCTACACCTGTCTCTCTCCCTCTATCTGTCTGCTCCGTTGATTTTAATTGTAACTTACGAGCGTTGCGACATGTTTTAGCGTGTGTGTCTGTAACAGCGCTGCATGGGTGTAGCGTTAAATGTGACCAGCAGAAAATTGGATATTCGACGCCGCCGATAAAGCTAAAAAACTGCTTATTCCAGTTCCCAGCCGACTGATCAGTGCATCTGTGATTTATTAATGCAAGATTCAGGATTTGATTTCTACCATCAAAACTAAATTAGGAAAACAAAACGTCACTGAAAGTCTGTTCAACGAGTGTTAACCTGTTCGATGCCACAGACCCAAATACTGTCAGAGACACCAAAATATTTTAAACTGAATGAGTTGCTCCTTTATCAGATTGTTTTATTTCAATACTTTGTAAAAGCGTAAAAAAGATAAACTATTCAATATTTCAAAGAGAAAACTTTACAGATTACAGAAAATTCAAGAAAAGATTGGATAAAAAAAAAGATAAGAGGTCTCTCCGGGCCCAAATGGTTGCTTCCTATCAGAACTGGATTGTTTTCCCACATCCACAAGGTTATTTTTCATCTTTTTTTATCTGCTGTTTCATGGCAGCTTCAGCTACAGTGCAGAGTTTGGTTTCATCCTCTGCATCACAAACAGGAAAAGCAGCTCCACCCAGATAATATGCTCTTAACGCTCTCTGCAGGACGTCACCTACTCATAATCCCAAAGTTTAAAACCACCCTCCTTAAATTGTGCACAAACACGTTGCCGACTTTCTTTTCTCAATTAATTTTTCTTGCTGGCAGGAAAAAATAGAACCTCCCCCAATTCCTATATTATTCCTATATTTAGTACCAAACCATGTAATTCTTTGCAGGAAACATCCAAGCAAATTATTGAGACATTACGGATACTTAAAACAACGCCTTTCTGATATAAGTACTGGCTACAAAAGCGAGTCAATCCCACAAACACGCTTGCAACCACGCTTCTTTCAGCCCGTCTCAGCTCCACCTCTTTGCTCATTATTGGATTTAGCAGAGTGAGGCGCTGCCAAGATGGCGTCCAAGAAGCGCTTCTTTTTGCCACCCGCAGGCTCAGACTGTTTGTTACACCAGGACAACATCATGGGAAGGATCTTTGAGAGGCAGCTGAAGTCTGAAATCTAATGAGAGGCGAGCTGTTGCAGGAAGACGCCGGTGGAAATGAGGGAGGAGTTTGTTGTGTACGTACCGGAGCTGCTATCAAAACTTTATTTCCTAGTACGTTCCTCCAACACAACAAACTCCTCTCTCCAACTCCGACTCACGTTTCCACCGTCGTCTTCCTGAAACAACTCGCCTCTCATTAGATTTCACAGAGCGAGAACTGCCCCCGATTCTAAAAACTTTTGTACCTACTGGTCATTTTGACACCAAAATATGTGAAAACTGGGGCCAAAGTTTAAAAATACATAAATTTTTACTTTAACAGAAACTACGACACAAGGTTGTGAAGGAAAACTAGAATGACGGAAGTAAAGGCAGAACGTGAGACCATCACAGGTATAAACCAGCAAACAACCTAAATCTGGATATTAACATTCATCTGTGAACTAAAGCCTGAGTCCTCGTTTCCTATCAAAGAGGAACAGACAGCGAGGAGGTCAAAGGTCAAACAGTTGCAATCTAGTGATTAGAGAGAAATCACAGGAGAGAAAAAAAGTTTCTGCTATATTTGACTAATTTTCCAGAGAAGACCCGGCACCTCCTCCCTCCCTCTCTCTCTCCAATTCTTCTCTCAGAAACTCATTAAAGTGTGTGCGTGTGATGTCTTTTTACATTTCTCGCTGTGTGTGCAGGTGTGTATTTTTGGCTCATTAATCTGCTGTCGTCGGTGGTTTCAGCACTCAGCATCACTAATATACAACCAGAGAACACACACACAGAACACTGTAGATGTCTGACAGCATCCTGAGGCTGTAAAAAAAAATCCTCTTAAGAGTGTGTGATGTGACAGAAAGCTGCGTATGTGTGTGTGTGTGTGTGTGTGTGTGTGTGTGTGTACTCAACTACATTTCTGCAGCATTGAAGACAAGTTTCAACAAACAAGTTAAGTTAAAAGTGCGCCTGTGTGTGTGTCAGTAGTTACAGTAGAAACCTCTTATCGTGATCATGTCTGACAGGGTTAACTGATCACTACAAGCCGGTGATTATTAACAAACATAACAAATATTTTCTCTTTTTCTTACCATCTATTTGACCTTTGTATATTTACTGCATGGATATAAAGTAATGAAACAGACAGCTTCGCTATTTACCGACTGTTTCAAAACACAGAGCAGCTGTTTCGAACACTTACAAACGATTGATACGAATTACTGTGTGTAAATTAAATGCACTATAAAGTAAGTAAGTAAAGTATGTTTGCAAATCTAAACCGATTTAAAAAATGTTTAAGAACAAACAGGTTTAACTAAAGGATGTCAGAGCGGCGGTTCCGGAAAACTTGCGGTGATCATACATGACTTCAGACAGAAGCAAACACGGTGGACCTTCTGTGTTGTTGTTGTTGTTGTTGTTGTTGTGTTTTGCACAGAAAAATAAACAAAGAGAATCAAACTAGATCAACTCAAAGCTGAGAAGAAGGAATCAGCAGGTTTATACATTTTATAGCGCAAGCACATACACGCCACGCTGGGGACGCTTCACACAGGATTTTGTGAGACTATCGTGGGTCGACCCCCCGGAAGAAAGATTTGTGCATTTTAATTTAATTAATTTGGTGCACTTTAAAGCAAATTAAAGAGGCTAGGTCTATGGAGAACTTTGCACTCTTGTTAACAATTTTGGGCCCTAGTAAACAATTTGATCATAAACACAATATAAATGATGATGATGATGTTTTTCCAGCAACCATTAATCAAAGAATCCTTTGTAACCAATTTCCCTGATATTTTATTTTACTTTTAATGGACACATGCAATACGTTTTATACTTTCTGTGAATATAATCCAATTAATCTTATTTCCATGCTGTGTACATTGTTTTAACACCTTATTTTGAAAACCGGACTTTGTCACACGTGTATATCCTCCATTCACAAAGTCCGACACAATTTGATACATTATATTGCACGTTGTGCTCGTATTGTGTATAATTAAGATATAATGGCCTCTCATGCTGTAACACTTTGTAAAGAGAGAAAATGACCCTGCCTGTCAGCTCGCTCTGCTCCTTTTAACTGCATTTACCATAAAGGCTCTAATACCTGTGCACTCCAAATTTAGCATCTAGCTTCATCGCGTTCTCACTGGCAGTGGAAACACTCAACGCGGTTCAAACCCTTAGTAATTACCTCAAAAGAAAAGTGGTTGTGTCTAGTCGGATGCGTCAGCGTGTGAGCGCGCGAGTTTACAGCAGCGGCGGAAACACAACGTTAGAAGTTTTTAATGTTAATTTATATCCGGCTCATTTTGAAACTATGGCGAAAGAAATTAGACTCTCATTGGCTGTTGCGGGTTTCTGACCAGAGGCTCCCAGATTTCAAACATGTTCAATATGATCAAACTAGGGGAGCCTCTGATCTAGTCGGCAACCTTAAGATTACGTCTGTAACTTCTCACACAACTGGATCATTTGGGGTTCTGACAGGTCTCGGCTCAGGAACGTCCGCGCAGTTGTCAGCAGGGAGAATCGGACCCAAAAATTGGCCTAATTATGATCTAGTGTGCAGCCAGCTTTAGGCTACAGAGCCACAGCTCGGTCTGGTTTTACAGAACATAAACTGGAGGCAATAAATGCCCAAATGGTAACAGAAACATGCATATAAAATATTAATATTTGTCCAAAGTGAACCCTGTATGCTGACTATTCGATCCCTCAAAGCAAGTTATTTAAACAGCATTTGTATAGGAAGGATTCGTTCCCAAACTTTTTCATCCACATAGGCGGTTGATCATTGTTAAGGCCAATTTATACACATAATTTATATACATTTATTCACATTTCCCCACCCGCATTTCCAGCTCGTCTGTTTTCTGCCCCGACAGGTTCAAGGCTCGTACATACCGTCTCCTCCGACGCCTTCTCTCGTTTGTGCATTTTAGTAATTTAATTTTTTTTTACTGGGCCCTGAAGGTGTCTGAGGGAGAATGTTTGATAATATGTAATTCCTGGCTCATGTGTTTCCTCAGACCCGATGAAGACGGTGTATGCTTGTGAGTTTATTCTTACTTGCGGCCTCCACCAGCTCCGGGTGCAGGCTGTAGGGGATCAGCGGGTCGGGCAGGTCGGCAAAGAAAGCCTTCAGCGCCCCGGCAGCAGCGTTCACAGCCACGTCCATCGCCACAAAGTCGATGTTGTGATCTGAAGAAAAGAGAGACCTTGATTTCCCACCATCCGGAGCACATTCACAAGGTTATTATTATTATTTTTAAATCTTTTTTATCTGTTGTTTCACGGCAGCTTCCGCTACAGCGTACAGTTGGTTTCATCCTCAGCATCACAAACAGGAAAGCAGCTCCACCCGGGCAGAGCGCCTGGATAATGTGATCAAACTCTCGGTGCACTGAACTCATGTACTCTCAAAACTTTAAAACCACGCTCATCAAATTCCTTCTCAGTGTGTGCAAACACATTGCTGACTCTATTTACTGTATTTATTCCATTTTCATAGAGAACGTCTAAACCATTCTCTTTTTATAATATTTTCTTTTAGCCTATGTGTTCCTACATTATATCTATATTTAATACCAGATTACACAAACTTCCTATGACATTAAATACAACGCCTGCAGCTCTTCTTAAAATTCAACAACATGGACATAGCAGTGTTTCCCACATATACACACTTTACTTGGGCGGGCCTCCCAGGTGTGTAAATGGCTGCCCAGGTATATTTGGTGGCACATTTTAGCATTTTGCAGAGAATCACACAGACAGATGCAATCTATTACTCTACCATTACCAAGACGCGGATATTTTACAAGCACGGACCAGGTAAAGTGACAGTGAACACACCAGTGCAGATGTCAATTGGCTACGTCTTTATCAAGCCGCCTCCACATGCGGCGAACCTGCTGCTGTGAAAACAGAATCACGGGTGGAAAAATCCAAAAGAAGAGTTCTGTGTTTTTTTGGCGACTTTAAAAAAAAAAACGTACTGCTGATGAAGAAAGTCAGGGAGAGCAGAGGCACATACAGGGAGAGAGAGACAGGAAGAGGCGGGGCTAGCAGGTATGTCTGCGGTAAGAGACCGGAGGTGTGTGAGTGCAAGGAAAAGAGAACTGAAGGGGGAAAGCAAGGCGAGCAGATTCGAGTAGGGAGTAAACACTAAACTAAGGTGGAGAATGGAGTAGATTAAAATGGTGCAATAAGAAATTACCTACTAAAAATCTATTTATACTTATATCCCTATGATTTTCCAGCTAAATAACTTTCATCATTTCTTTCAGCCCAGTGAGCCGCCTCCGTCCCAAAACACAACTTCACAGCAGTTTGTAGAGAGCAGACAGAGCTGACTGATGGTACTGAGGAGCCCGACGTCAGATGATCAAAGGTTATAACACACAGAAAAAACAATGGAGGGAATTATAATTTTAAATTGGAGGTTAAAAGTGGATTAACACAGCAGGCTGATGGGGATTTTTATTAAAATTTTAAATACATTTTGTCCCATCGCCCAATAAATGAGTAAATCTAAAATAGGTAGAGCCATTACAGATGCTCTCTCTTTTATTGTTGATATGATCGTCAAACGGCCGAACTGCTTCACAGAAAATGTCTTGACTGCTGCAGATGTAGCGGACATGATCTCTACAGACTTTCTTTTTAACAATAAACTGTTTATTACTGGACACATTTCCATAAACGTTTAGTCATTTCATGCGATTATTCTTAACCACCTTTGCCATCAAGAACAGCAGGTGTACTGAAACACCGCTGACCAAAGATCCATCCAAAGACCAAAAAGCTTTGTCAACTCAAGGACAGCGAAGCCAAGCCCCTTCATGTTAAACACGAGCAGCTGACTCTCAGACCTGGATCCTATAATCCACGTTGATCCGTTCAGATATGAGTCAAACAGGATTTTCGTGGGGTCAATGCTTCAGTCTCGGAGGATATCAAAGAGCTTGTAAGAGCAGTTGTGTTGCAGCAGCGAGGCTCACAGCTGAGCTTTGTGTCTGAGCAGGAGGACAGAGCTCCTCTCTGATCACAGCTAACAGAGGTTATCATCAGTCTGTCTGCGGGCACAGAGGCCCGAGTGTTTCTCTGATGGAGCAGCAGGGCTGGAACAGAATACACGTCCAGTTCAAACAACCATTTTTCTGCTCTGTTATTCCTGTCGGGAGAGGAGGGAAGCTCCAGCTACAGCGCGTCGGTTTGAGTTCTGTTGCAGCAAAACAAAGTTGCAGCCCTTGTTTCACACAGCAGGTCAGGTGTCAGCTTTCTCAAAATACTGTGTAATGATGGCTTTTAAAATAAAGAGGAAATGATCACCCTGTTACCAGAGATACAGGATGAAAAATAAATACATATCACTTCCTGTTTTGACTCACTGCAACGGGCAAATGACGACGGGAAGGAGGAGAAAGAGGACGAAGCCCTGAGGTAATACGACAGCTGTCACGCTGAATCTGAAGGACAAACAAACCAGAGCTCAGTAGAAATACTCTGAAGGAAATAAAGAGATAAAGAGCGAGGAGAGAGATAAGCTGAATAAAAGGAGGACGGAAAAACAGGGAAGGAAACAAGGAAGGATGTTAAAGGAAACAGGGACAAACAAGAAAGAGAATAAAAGAGGAAAAAGGAGGAGAAGCAGCTGTTTAATGAAGCGTATAAACAACCAAAAAAATGCTGCTTCAGCCTAAAATGTTAATGAAGCTGAACCACAGTGACCTCTGAATCCCACAGCAAATTCATCTCAATCTTCAGCTACTTCCATAAAAATATATCCACATTAAACTGTGGAAGTAGCGAGCAGACCACCATCCTCTCTTACTGACGGAGGAGCTAATTGGCACTAATGGTGCTTTTCATACACAGGTTTGATCGAGCTGCAGCGAGGAGAACGGCCGGCAGGATGCATGTGCAGCGTCTAAACAGAAAATATACAACCTGAAAACGGCGCCTACGGCAAGTCATAAGGGGGAAACTCACAGGGAACAACTCTGATTTAACTGAAGATGTTTGAGAACGCTGGTTTTACATGATGAGTCAACCTGAAGAACAGCAACTCTGTAATTGTTTTCTGGGATGATTTATCAGATATTTTTTAAAAGATGCCATTTGGTGACATTTAGTTTAGTCTACATTTTAAGATCTGAAGGATCAAAGGGAACCAGAAATACAAATTATATTACTATATTTTTAAATATTAGTCTATTTAAGCCATGGAAGCTCACGACAGCGTAAGAAGTTCTGGTACAACTTCACCTACATCTATACTGGATGGAAGAAGGGATTGGTCTCGACTAAGGTTGGGTGTAGATCAATCGTCACCAAATTTCCAAGAACCATGGATTCGATAAAACTTCCTGCATCTTTCAGCTCTTGCCTGAACCGCAGTGAGCATTTTATAGTCCATAAAAGTGTCTCTTACCTGCCGGGACCTGCTACGCCGACCTAACGTCACCTCATTTGTTACGCAGTACATCAACAAAGCGTGAAGAAGAGCGTTAGAAAACGATAACATTCAAAACGATACCCAACCTCAAGTCTGGAGGGATGAGAAAAAACAGCGACACTTCATGCGCTTCATGATGAAAAGCCCCCCGAAAATATATTTAATATCCAATTGCCTAAAATGAGCATTTGTGCACGCTGCACAAATAAGCTGCTGAATAATGTGAAATATAGTTGTGTGCAATAAATGTGTGAGAACTTTAGCACTTTACTTATAACCTTGGTGCAACGTGCATTAACCACACTAGCACATGCACTTTAATCCATGGAACTATGTTGTCAACAATGTCCTTTTTCTTCTGTGTTTTCCTCTTGTGACGTGCAACATGTCGATGCTTGTCAGGTCTTTAATGAAGCATCAGTGCACTACGCCCAAGCAGAATTTCCCTTCGGGATAATAAAGTTAACCTTAGCTAACCAAACCTAATTTCATTACAGGGTTTTTCCTGGCTCAAAATGGGCCTTTGGCCGGTGACCTCGCACAACAGTAACCCTGGCCGGTATGCGTACATTAAAGGCAATGAGTTATCTTATGACTGAAATCTATGCTTTTTCTTGTTATTTCTGATCATTTGATAAAAATATATCCACAACCTGGAGGAGTAAAGGTATAAAAATAAAGTATAATGTTAGTATAATAACATATTTACAGGTGACACTTGATTTGGATAATTTAGTTAAGATTCAGCTGTTTCACTAATAAAACCATTCTCTGATATTACACCACTGTGGTTAAGGTTTGATTAGTGCTAATGTTTGTATATTCATTATAATTTCAGATAATAGTACAGGCTACTATAGCTTACCATTAGTAGCCTAATATTAATTCCAGTTGGACAAAACAGCAGTTTGTGTGGGTTGTTTACAGTCACTAAATTATTGTGCAAGAAAAATGCTCTACATGATGGTCAGTCTCTCATTTGTTTATGCAAATTAACTTGTCAGTAATAAAAACTGTGCATACAGAACGAGGAGCTAAACATTTCTAAAGTTTGCTGTAGCGCCTCAACCTTTTTTTAGTGTCCCGTCTCCTCCAGGCTGTGATTGGTCGGTTCACGAAAAGCGACTGACGAGCAGCTACGCACACGGCTGCACGAAAGGCTCCCGATCTCCCTGCGGAGATTAGCAGGCAGGCGAGAACGGGAACAGGTGAGCGTCACGTAGTGCCCAGAAAATCGGATTTTAGAGAGGGCAGAGAAGAGGACTGGGGCCGGCACACTAAAAGGTAAAATGTACCGGTGAATACCGGCACACTTCAAGAACAAACGGCTTTTATATTCTGAGAAATAACAGGAAGTCATCGCTCCCAGTAGTGCGAGCTCAGTAGGTCGGGTAGTGGAGCGTTCAGGCGCAGTCAAACCAACGCAGCAGCTGGTTTATAAATCCTGCGCCTGCTGCATGTGTAAAAAAAACAAAACAGCACTATAGATGAGAGGAGAGGTGACTTCTAGAAGTCAAGATGTCGTATTTAAGTTTATGTTCTGCTTGCTCAACAGTTGATTGATAATGGCTATTAATACACATTAGGAGAATATCCGCTCACTAAAACCTCTTTGGGGGGCGCCAAAAAATTCTCTATGCAGGAAAAACCCTGCATTAATGTAATGTCATGTCCCAGGGACTCCCAGCAAGACATGCGATATATTGTTATTTCCAGGAAGTTGGCCTACTCCATACCATCAACTTCAGTGATCCTATGGGATGCATTTATTGGAAACTTTGCATGCATGAGCACGTTTTTAACACATCCGAAATACATGTGTGTGAATAGCTAGACGAGCATACGAGACGAGCTGTTTTTGTCATATTATATTTATTCTTTTTGGGAAACAGATGTTTTGTCTTTTGCCTCCAACTTTTAAAGGAACTCTAATGGAATCAGTGAGTTTATCAATTTATTAACCTTTATTTCATTAGATTCTGTTGAATTTGCACCATGAAATGTCACGTAGCTCCTGTTTTCAACCCTGGATGTAAAAGTCCTAAAGAAGACCTCTAAACACTATTGATCAGAAGTTATAAGGAGATCATTTTAATATGATTTTTAAATAGATTGACACTGAAGGGAAACGGATTCCAGTGTGAGCACAGGACGTGTTCCACTCCGAATCATTTAGGACACTGCGAACAAAACTGTGGAAAAGGCATAAGAACGGTGCGTTTCTCCTCTGGGAAACCAACTATTATTTAACCTAACCCTATTCTCAGTTTGCAGGAAGACTCTTCATGTTCAGGTTAACTGAGATGCCTAGTTATCTGATCAGTGATGACACCAATTGATTAAAAGAGAAACTGGGAAATAATGCAATCAATAATGAGCGTGAGAGTGGAAAAACAAACCCGTCCTGTAAAGTGACAGACACTTCTGACCGTGTGCTGGTGATTTCATGCCTGTGGTGACTCTGTTTATTCTAACAGTCGGTTTGGCAGCTCACCAGCCCTCATGTGCAGGTTGGACTCCGCTCCACGGGGCATGTGTTTCCCTTTAAGCACTTATGTTGCGCGGTCAGATTTGGAATCAGTTTTTTCTTCTTCTCTGCGGCTGGAAATTTACTGCACACATCACACAAGCGCTACTCGATTGGTAACAGGTTTTCCGAGGAACTCCCGAGTTCTTAAACCTTCATGGGAAAGTAATTTAGAATCACGATCTGTGAAAATAATGAGAGCCACTGTCCCCTCTCTCTGAGCTTTGAAACTCCAGTTACTCGCGCTCCTTCTTCAGGTTTCGAAGGTAGATGAATATGTATTTATGAGCGTGTGTGTTTCAGTGTTTCACCTTGATCAAACAGTTTCTGGATGTTGTCCTGGTCCGTCTTGTTCCCGCTGACGCGATACAGGCCTTCTGTCGTCAGACCTGCAAAACACAAAGAACCTCCAGTTCAGTAACTTCATTCAGTTACACAGTGTTTTCAGTTAAAGTGATGAATTTAAACAGAAGGGCCAACAGGAGCCGTGTAATTGGTTTCAGCTAATGTGGTTTTCTGTAACCACATACTGAGATTATTTTTGGATTAGGGCTACATACTTTAATGCTATAAATTCCAGAACTTTCTCTTTTCTATGCTTCAACAGCCAAAAGAAGTATTAACTGTTTTATTAGTTTTTATCATGCCTGTGCAAACAGGGGTACATAAATAAACATACATGATACTAAACATGCTTCGTTTTCTAGGCCTTGGGTCGAGTTATTGATCAAAAGAAACTGCACCTTTGCAACTGATATTACAATCATTGAATTGTACAGAAAAGTAGAGAGTAAATCTCTTTACGCAGCTCGACATAATATGTTTATAATATCCACGAAAGGTAAAGAGAAAGTATTTAGTAGGTGAAGTCTTTCCATTCGTCTGCCACTGCGTTTTATTAAGTTACATTTGGAGTAATTCACATCTCTCACCGGACTGTAACAGCACTATCCTTTTCATTATTGCCTCGTGTTTCTTGTCTTATTTTTCCTTTTTATGGAATTTCAACTGGATTTGTCTGTAACCATTTATGAGCAATTTCCTTTTTGTTTGCTGCAGCCATAAATATTTATTTTTATTTCTTTATATGTGGTAACATGTCTGGACTCTGCAGCTTGTTAATACATCAGGTCGGCGGAATAAGCCCTCTAATTTTCGGCCTACGCCTTTTCGGTCTTTGCAATAATCCGTTTTTGACATTTTGGTTATTATTATTATTATTATTATTATTTTGTGTCTGTTTAAGCACTCAGGTGCATTACTGTTTTAATTTATTAAATTTCATTAAATCCTTTTTTGGCAGGTCTCCCGAATAGGATGACATACATCAGAATCAGAAATATTTAATTGATTCATGTATAACCAGGCCAGAAACTCACTGACTAAACAGATCAAAGCAGCTAAGAGGAGCTACGCTGAAAAGACAGAAAACAGCTTCTCAGCCAGCGACCCTGCGTCAGAGAGGCCTGCAGACACTTACTAACCACAGGAGACCGTCCCCCAACACTGCTGGTACTCAACGACTGGCTGACGAGCTCAATGGTTTTCATTGTAGGTTTAAGAAGCCCACAGTCACACCTCTCCCTCGCCCCAACACCATCTTCAAACCTTCCCCCACTGCCACGCTGCCCTCTCCAACCCCTCATGCACTCACGATCTGTGAAGAGGATTTGAGCCACCTCTTCCAGAGGCAGAAGATCAGGAAGGCTCCTGGCCCCGATGGTGTATCACCATCCAGCCTGAAAATCTGTGCGGACCAGCTGGCCCCCATCTTCACACAGATCTTCAACAGATCATTGGAGCTGTGTGAAGTTCCCTCCTGCTTCAAACGCTCCACAATCATCAAAAAACCCTCCATCTCTGGACTAAATGACTACAGGCCTGTTGCCCTGACATCTGTAGCCATGAAGTCCTTTGAAAGACTGGTGTTGGTCCACCTGAAGGACATTACAGGCCCCTTGCTGGACCCCCTGCAGTTTGAGTGAACAGGTGAGTGGATGATGCAGTCAACTTGGGACTGCATTACATCCTGCAACTCTCCACAGACATATGCAAGGATGCTGTTCGTGGACTTCAGCTCGGCGTTCAACACCATCATCCCGAACATCCTCAGTTCCAAACTCACCCAGCTCACTGTGCCAGCCTCCACCTGCCAGTGGATCACAGACTTCCTGACTGACAGGAGTCAGCAGGTGAGACTGGGGAACTCTCTGGTGCGGTCAGAACAACCTGGAGCTTAACACGCTCAAAACTGTGGAGATGACCGTGGACTTCAGGAGGAGCCCCCCCCACTCTGCCCCCCATCACCATACTCAACAGCCCTGTGTCTGCTGTGGAATCCTTCAGGTTTCTGGGATCCACTATATCCCAGGACCTGAAGTGGGAGCCCAACACGGACACCATCATCCAGAAGGCCCAGCAGAGGATGCAACCTGCCTAAGGAGCTGCTGATCCAGTTTTACACAGCCATCATCCAGTCTGTCCTCTGCACCTCCATCACTGTCTGGTTTGGATCTGCCACCAAAAAGGACAGGAGCAGACTACAACGGACAGTCAGGACTGCAGAAAAGATCATCGGTGCCAACCTGCCCTCCATTGAGGATTTCCAGAGTCAGGAAACGGGCAGGAAACATCACCTGCAGATCCACTTCACCCCGGACACAACCTGTTCCAGCTCCTCCCCTCTGGTAGGCGCTACAGAGCACTGTACGCCAAAACCAGCACACTCAGGAACAGTTTCTTCCCACAAGCCATCGCTCTGATGAACAGCTGATTTCTGCCTCACAGTGTCAGGAACAACTCCCGTGCAATAACTCTCTAATCAGCCACCCGTTTACTGGTTACCACTTATTATTTTTTCATCATTCTCTATTTCAGAGCTGTTCATACTGTTCATATTGTCATTTTGTATATATCCTGTGTACATGTGTACCTGTATATCTCATCCACCTCCGACATGTACATCAGAATGATAATTTTACTCCTGCATCCTTTCCACTCTGCTCATTGTACTATTGTCTCAATCTGTCTTGTTTTTGTTTATATTGTGTATATATGTTATCTCTATACGGTAGCCTGTGTGTGATTTTATGTACAGTAGACGTGTGATTATAAAAAGTAATAATAATAATAATGAGTACTGATAATGTTAAGGAGCTGGAAAGGATTCAAATCCTTAAAAATTGCATGATTGGTATCTGGTCCAAACCATAGCCGTGGGTTTGCTGTTTTTTAGCGTGTGTTGTTGCATTTAGTTATAATTCGACATCAAAAAGCTGTGAGACGACAGCAGCCATTAATTATTTACAAAAACTTCAGGAGGGGATTCATCCTTTAGAGGCCGTTAATATCCACAGAAAATCTTACATCAATCTGGCCGTAACAGTTGTCTAGAGAGCAACAACAAGGATAAAAGATAAACAGTAAATAAACAACAATTTAGTTAGTTGGTGTTTGAGCCTTCAGCTGGTCTGAGAGCAGCGTTTATCACAGCCAGCTGGCACCTGATCTCAGACCAGCACATACGGAGACAGTGTGTCTCAATTAGGGCTATAATGCGTGTTTCTGGCTGCATGGATAACCACAACACACACACAAACACATATAATCAATACAGGTTGTAGCTCTGCTCCTTTGCAGCTGCAAGGTCATTCACACTGCAGTCTACATGCCTGTGTGTGTGTGTGTGTGTGTGTGTGTGTGTGTGTGTGTGTGTGTGTGTGTGTGTCCCTGCAGAGGCAGTTAAGCAGAGACAGTATTATGTAAATTCAGCTTTAATGGATTGAAGTAAATTATGTCAAGTGTGAGCAACTCTGTGTGTGCATTGGTTTTGTGGGTGTTTATCTGAGCCTTGTTGTGTATTTGTGTGTGTGTGTGTGTGTGTGTGTGTGTGTGTGTGTGTGTGTGTGTGTGTGTGTTGACTCAGGTGTGTGACAGAACACTTCGTCTTAGCTCTTGAGTTAACAGAAAACTGAGAAAGGCAGCGTTTTTGCTAAATTACCTAATCAGTCTCATCAGCAACCCACTCGACCCAATTTGTGCATGTACATGTGTGTGCGCCTCACACAGTCAGCCGAATATGTAACCTAACAAAAAACAGAGTGTTGTGTGGTTAAAAACATTGTAGGCACGCGGTATAAAATATGTAAATATTACGGGAAGATGGGGATCCATATCCCATCTAGCACCTGTGGTAAAAAACCCTCACTTTCCTCCTTCGTGAATGAATAAGGGATCTAAGAGATAGCGGGAAGCAGGGATAGTTTATATAAAGGATCTATTTAACATACCGGGGATCAAATCCTTTGCTCAGTTGAGTACAGAGATTGGTCTGGAGCAAACACAGTTTTTTTTTTAGATATTTGCAATTGAGGAGTTACGTCCAGTCTACTCCTCACTATTGAGGGAATATTGAGATTTTCTTCCCGGAAAACCTGTTGGTTAAATCAGCCTCTGTACATAAATTTTTTTAAGTTACTTCTATGGAGAAATTCTTTAAACGGGAGAAGATTAATACAAATGCTAGTAGGTACTCCTGGGAATTAGACTTTGGGACTACTATAAGTGAACATGAATGGGATTTAAAAGGATAAGTTGCTAAACTAAATCTCATGAAACACAGTTTAAGATTATTCACAAAGTTATGACACTGAAAGTGATAAAATTTGTAAAAAAAAAATATTAATATTGGCAAAGAGACATATTTTCATGCTTTCTGGGAATGTCCAAAGATTGTGGAATTTTGGAATAATGTTAACAGGAAGAGTGATGGTATTCTTTCTTGTATATTAACATTAAGCCCAGGCACTTGTATTTTAGGATGAGATGATACAACAAGGCAGGCTGCCAGGTGAGAATTTGCAGGTACGCTGCAAGGTTAAGTATTCTTCACAGGTGGGTGGGTGATGAACCTCCAGATGTCTTACTGTGGTACATAAAATTCCTAAATCTTATTACCCTTGAAAGGCTATCATACATAACCAGAAATAGATTGGACTACTTCCTGCTGACCTGGCAACCTGTTTTTAACAGTATTGAGGATGGTTCCCAAATTACACTTCAGAAGTACATGAATATATCAATTCGGAATAGAAATCAGTCTTAATGAGTGACTAATACTGACTACTGATATTATAATATACTGTTTGTGTACCAAGCTGCTTTCCCTGAGTGAGTGTTTGTGTTTTTTATGTTTGTTTTGTCTGTTTTTTGTTTTTTTCTTTGCTTTTATGTTTGTGGTTAACGGTGTAGGGTGTGGGGAAGGAGGCACAGGATCATAATCAATTTGGAAGAACAATGGTGTATAGAAGCACTTTAATTTGTAAATCTGTACGTTTGATTATGAGTATGTTGTACGTCACTGTATATGAAATATGTTTAGATGATTATA